GTTGTCTCTCCGACATGACATGGTTTTTCTGCCTTTAATGCCCTAACCAGTTACAGTAGCATCTTTGCTCGTTCTGTCTGTTATATTCACTCTAACGCTCCTCTTTTAATTAAATTACTTTAATTTGTGGCAGGAAATTGAATGACAGAGCCTGCTAATGGATAAGCTGAAAATCAGTCAAGGTTAGGACACATTGTAACAACTATGTTTTCCTATATGCATATTTTTAGGTTTGGTAATTTTACTCGTTAGACAGTTTTCATGATAAAACCGTCTTGGCAAAGTAGTGCCCTTAAATTTCTCAATAAAGCATTGCCGCTATAGCCATACACGTTTAGATAGATGCCTTTGGTCATTGCGTCACACAGTCTGATGTTTTTCGAACATCCTGCCATGTGTGTTGTCAATTTAAAAATAGTTTGACTTTTAAAAACAGGCTTTGAACATTCAGTTCCATTCTGTTTTGCTTCATCAACATGTCTTATTTAAACACCTCTAAGAAACACGTCCAATCAGGTTCAGATGAACTTGAAACTAGCCTAATTATACAGAGCTTCCCGAAGACGATTAGTGGACTAGCCATTCACACAACTCAATAAACAGTTGCCTTTAAAAATATGGAATTATGCACATCCCTAATATTCACAGGGGAAGGAAAGTGCAACATTAGTTCAACAACTAAAATCGTAAGTTTAGTTAAAAAAAGGGGGGAAAAATCACAGACATTCTGTAAAAAAAAAAAAACACTTAAAAAAATCTGCTGTAGTTTACATGCAGAATGCAAGAGAGTTATGTATATACAGTATATATATATATATATATATACAGTGGGTACGGAAAGTATTCCGACCCCCTTAAATTTTTCTTTGTTATATATATACACTGAAAAAAATGTTTCATTCATCCAATTAAAAAATTTTTTTGGTAATGATTCACATCTATATTTTTTTAACTTGAGCCAATGAAAAATAAATAACTTGCCCGTAGGGCAAAAATAAATAAATAATAAATAAAAAATTGAAAAACAAATAACTTGCCCTTAGGGCAAGTTATTTACAGTGGGTACGGAAAGTATTCAGACCCCCTTAAATTTTTCACTCTTTGTTATATTGCAGCCATTTGCTAAAATCATTTAAGTTAATTTTTTTTCCTCATTAATGTACACATAGCACCCCATATTGACAGAAAAACACAGATTTGTTGACATTTTTGCAGATTTATTAAAAAAGAAAAACTGAAATATCACATGGTCTTAAGTATTCAGACCCTTTGCTGTGACTCTCATATATTTAACTCAGGTGCTGTCCATTTGTTCTGATCATCCTTGAGATGGTTCTACACCTTCATTTGAGTCCAGCTGTGTTTGATTATACTGATTGGACTTGATTAGGAAAGCCACACACCTGTCTATATAAGACCTTACAGCTCACAGTGCATGTCAGAGCAAATGAGAATCATGAGGTCAAAGGAACTGCCTGAAGAGCTCAGAGACAGAATTGTGGCAAGGCACAGATCTGGCCAAGGTTACAGAAAAATTTCTGCTGCACTTAAGGTTCCTAAGAGCACGGTGGCCTCCATAATCCTTAAATGGAAGACGTTTGGGATGACCAGAACCCTTCCTAGAGCTGGCCGTCTGGCCAAACTGAGCTATCGGGGGAGAAGAGCCTTGGTGAGAGAGGTAAAGAAGAACCCAAAGATCACTGTGGCTGAGCTCCAGAGATGCAGTCGGGAGATGGGAGAAAGTTGTAGAAAGTCAACCATCACTGCAGCCCTCCACCAGTCGGGGCTTTATGGCAGAGTGGCCCGACGGAAGCCTCTCCTCAGTTCAAGACACATGAAAGCCCGCATGGAGTTTGCTAAAAAAACACCTGAAGGACTCCAAGATGGTGAGAAATAAGATTCTCTGGTCTGATGAGACCAAGATAGAACTTTTTGGCCTTAATTCTAAGCGGTATGTGTGGAGAAAACCAGGCACCTGTCCAATACAGTCCCAACAGTGAAGCATGGTGGTGGCAGCATCATGCTGTGGGGGTGTTTTTCAGCTGCAGGGACAGGACGACTGGTTGCAATCGAGGGAAAGATGAATGCGGCCAAGTACAGGGATATCCTGGGCGAAAACCTTCTCCAGAGTGCTCAGGACCTCGGACTGGGCCGAAGGTTTACCTTCCAAGAAGACAATGACCCTAAGCACACAGCTAAAATAACGAAGGAGTGGCTTCACAACAACTCTGTGACTGTTCTTGAATGGCCCAGCCAGATCCCTGACTTAAACCCAATTGAGCATCTCTGGAGAGACCTAAAAATGGCTGTCCACCAACGTTTACCGTCCAACCTGACAGAACTGGAGAGGATCTGCAAGGAGGAATGGCGGAGGATCCCCAAATCCAGGTGTGAATAACTTGTTGCATCTTTCCCAAAAAGACTCATGGCTGTATTAGATCAAGAGGGTGCTTCTACTAAATACTGAGCATTTTTCAGTTTTTCTTTTTTAATAAATTTGCAAAAATGTCAACAATTCTGTGTTTTTCTGTCAATATGGGGTGCTGTGTGTACATTAATGAGGAAAAAAAATTAACTTAAATGATTTTAGCAAATGGCTGCAATATAACAAAGAGTGAAAAATTTAAGGGGGTCTGAATACTTTCCGTACCCACTGTATATATATATAAGAGGGATGTTGTGAATATTGAGTATATTGACTCCATCCCAGGACAATTGAAATCTAAAACAGCAAATCACTCGTTTGCAGCTATTGTCGTCTTCTTTTTTGCATTTTTCTATACACACTTTCTCCAGCTCCTTTGATTCTTAGCTATATTGACATTTATTCCAGTCAAATTCGCAAGCGCAGAATAATTGAAAGCTCTGACAGTGTGAATGAATGAATCCCACAATACCAGAACAGTTGCCAGTACTACTTTTCCGGATTTTCTGTGTGGAAGAGGCTTAAGGTTTCTAGGTGCCACACCTAATGGTGTTGACTGGTGTGTAATTCGCAGCAGACAGTCAGTCAAAGGGGTTGGGAGGTGGAGAAGAGCGGTAATCCTGTTAGCAGGCCTCTTGCAATCTGCTGAAAAGTCTGTCGTCTTTATCTCAGTGTTGCCCAAGAAGAAACAGAGACAGTGGCTTTATGGAAAACACAGCCCAAAACTCTAGGCTGGATTAATCATGCACAGAGGTTGTAGTTATTTCCCGACAGAGTCAGGTTTGGGCAAGGTGCTCCGTTCAGGGTAGCAAGTGTTTTTTTATTATTATTTTGTGCATGTTTATAAATTTATTTAAAAATATATTTTAATTTAATAAAAAATATATTTAAATTTTTTAATTAAAATTCATTTTAATATTTTTTGAGAGGGTAAAAAGGGCGAAAAATTACAAATGTCTTGGTATCATACTGAGAAATTATTGAAAAGGAAACATATTTGAAAAACTTTTGTCCACCAACTAAGTCATGTGGCGCAGAAAAGAAAAAGCAAAAAACAGTAACTGAACCTCATGACTTTGAGGTCAGTAAGTCTCCTAAAATATTGTATCTTTTGACTTTTTAATAACCAGGCAATGTCATGTGGTGCAACTCTCCCCAAAAAAGTAATATTAGTAATACATTTTAATTCATTATATTTTAAATAAAGTACTTTTTACCTTGAAAAAATCCTAAAAGTGTAAAAATCTAAAAGAATCTTTAAAAACATGTTTGAAAATAATGATTTTATTAAATGGTTACACCATAGAGACATTTTAGCGCCATTAATTGTAAACTTTATTGAAAATGGTATTTCATAGCTATGTGAAAATGGCATAAACGTGCATGAATGCAAAGAATAAATTCTAAGAACTTGGATTATATGTTTTAAACTCCATTTTTAAAATAGTATTTCATGTTTTCTTTATCGTAGATACTCTATTTTGTTATTGACCAAATATATATTTTAATTCTTCACATAGTATTCCTGAGGTAGCTTTATGGTAATTTTAGCTAAATCAATTTTCCAAGCATGTGTTTTCATAGTGATGCAAATCAAAGCTACTAGGATTCCAAAGATCTAACAGGTGAGGACAGAGACTTTCAGCAAAGACCCCTTTGGAATTCTAGACATGCTGGCAAAAGTAAACTCTTGGTACCCATGCATGAAGTATATTCTTACCTGTCCCTGGGGGTGGATGTGGCTTGGTAAGCCAGGCAGGGGCCTGATCTAGTGCAGGGGGGAGTCAACTGGGAACAGAGCATGTAATTAGCATGTTTAGAGTCGCGGGTGACCCTGCTCACACGTTGATTGACAGTTCTCGCTGCTGCTTGGCAACGGCCCCCTGGGAGGTTTCAAATCCCATCACTGGGCTGTAATTGAGTGTCAACAAACAGGCAGGCCTCCAACGGAGCAGACCTCTAAAGACTGCTGCATATCTCCAAATGGTGTGGATGGGCTTCTCACAACACTTCTATAAATCAGATTCAGTCTGAATGCTTTGAATAAGACTGCTTTGAAGCCGTCAAAGTTATGACAAGTTCTTTTGATTCCTCAGTTGCGATATTGATATGAATCAGACACGTTTTATAATAATGTTCTGGCAAAATGTGGCTATCAATGAGGGTAGTGTAGAAACATGACAGCATAATGACGTTAAGCACATTTGGGCTTTAAAGACACCCAGTGTTTCACAGTACCTATGTCAATGAGTTGATATTAAAGTGAAATATGAATCAGAGCATGAAAGGACTGCTTGAGTGTGTATGTCACTGTTTATGAAGCTGTGTGATGTTATGAATAAAAAAAAAAAAAGTAAAGCACATAGCTGACATGTCAAGGCTCAACATGATGTCAGCCTGATGTCATGCATATCCATTGCATTGGCATTACTGATGGTTTACTTGAATATGTATTATGATTGCACTAAGATGTAATGTTTCATAATAATTATTTGTTTTAAGAAGTTACTTGTGATTCTTGTTGCATATGAATATTTCTTTGAATGTGTCTTTTTTTGTTTTGTCCCTCTCTCAGCTCGATGACTGTGCTTTACAATTGTCTCACAATGGCAGTTATCTGGACTTGGAGTCCACCTTGGCCGAGCAGAGAGATGAACTTGATGGATTTCAGGAGGATGGAGGGTAAGCAACTGCACCTTCATGCCGTCTTCTTTGGAACAAAAAAAAAATCACACAACTATTTTCTATACAACTGTTAATCTCCAAAAATGACATAAAAACACCACAAAAAAAAAAAGCACCATAAATGTAGATTTTCATGAATGAATCATTCAGTCTGATTTGTGAACTGAATCAACCAGTGCATTAAAGTAGTAATGAACTACATTTATAATCAGTGTTGGGGTAACGCATTACAAGTAACGCGAGTTACGTAATCAGCTTACTTTTTTCAAGTAACTAGTAAGTAACGCATTAATATCTGAGTTACTTTTTCAAATAAGTAATGCCAGTTACTTTTTTCCCATTCATTGATTGAAAGCTCTCCTGTTCCCATGTTGAGAGAAATCGGGAGCAAGATGTTACTTTAGTTCTAGAATAAATGTGAACATGCATTAAAAAAAACAAAAAACAGATTTAGTTTTCCTCAAAATAAAATAAAAAGTAACGTAACGCATTACTTTCAATAAAAAGTAACTAAGTAACGTAATTAGTTACTTTTTTAGGAAGTAACACAATATTGTAATGCATTACTTTTAAAAGTAACTTTCCCCAACACTGTTTATAATGTTAGCAAGATTTTACATCAAAATACACCAAAATTTAGAAGTAATAGGCTATTTTCTGTCCTGTTTTTGAGCCTCTCTGCAGAACGGTCTGTTTTATAAGCGGGGCGCATTCAAGACTCTGAAGTAAATGCCCACTGCTGTGATTGGCTAACAGTTTTGCATATTAAACTAATAGAAGGACGCTGCTGTGACGTATGCTGAATATATCAAAAGATCAAGGGAAATTTGATTTCTTAGTTCATGGCCCCTTTAAAAAGAAACTGCTCAAAAGTACTATTTGTTCACTAATCCAGTTGCCTTGGCTCTCAAGCTCACTAGAGAGAAAATTTATCAGTGAATACTTACTTAAAGTTCAGTCTATGTTTTTTTTTTTTTTTGGAGCTTAAGAGCTGCCTGATGATTTTTGTTTTATGTTCTATGAGAAAAAAAATACAGCAATTTGGTGTGGAACGACATGAAGGTGAATAAATAATTACAGATTCATTCATTCATTCATTCATTCATTCATTTTCACTTTTGGCTAAATTATGCCAAATTACTTTGCTTGTAGACCAGAAGATCAATGGATGGATAAATTACTCACATATCCTTAAAAAACTTTATTGACTTTGAATAGGTTAAAATGGTTAGAAAATGAAGGTTGAAGGTGTTGGCTTGATTCTCAATAGCCTCGGGGGGACTATTTTCTTAATTCCTACATTTCAGTCTGTATTCACATCTTGTTACATTGGAGGAAACTATAAGCACAATCCTGTCACGTGCATTCCATAAAACATTCCATCTAAAGCTATCAGAAAGACCTTAAAATCTCACAGCACATGTTCTTTTATCTTCAGCACATACCACATACGTTCTATGACAGGCTTCTATTCAGCCAGCCCTCAAAATACCTGACTGGTTGGCAAGGGCACAGATTATGTCATCCTCCGGTCTTAAGAAAGCTGGCAAGATTCAGAGTTAATTGTCTTGTTGAGCAAAGTCCAGAGTAGATCTCTGTCTGCTGCAGTCTTTCCAGTGCTGTAGACATTCGTAATGTCTATGATGAAAGTATTTCTACTATTTTGAATCATTTTGCTCCCATAAAATCTAGACAGGTCCCTTCCTCGCACACTTCTCCTTGGTTCACCTCTGTTCCCACTACTGAACTTCTCTCTTTATGCCATGCTCATAGCTTCTCTAATTTTGACTCTATTGTCCCCACAGAGGTTGATGAGATAATCAGGCTGTCTAATTCCTCTACTAGTCTTCTTGATCCTGCACCTACCTCTTTACTGAAGAATTGCTTGCCTGCTTTGTCACTACCCATCACTCACTTTATTAATACGTCAATGTCATCTGGAACTGTACCATCAAAGCTTAAGATTGCTGCTGTCACTCCAGTTCTTAAAAA